CTTGGAGGCGCAGGGGGAGGGGGCGGCTCTGCCCCTCACCAGGCCCCTGGGCCTGTTCTGCTGGCGGTCACAGTTCCGCCTACCTTGCAGGCGAGGGGGCGGCTCTGCCCCTCAGCAGGCTGCTGCGCCTGTTCTGCCTGTGGGTCTCAGGCCCGCCTACCTTGCAGGCGTGGTTGGCAGCTCTGCTCCTATGCGGTCCACTGGGCCTTTTCCATCGGTGGTCACAGTTCTGCCTACCTTGCAGGCGCGGGGGGAGGGGGTGTGCTTTGGCTTTAACTGTCTTTGCTAAGTGTTTAAGATGAAGCAAGTCAAACTGACTTTTGTTCTTATCTATTGTTAACAGTCAGCTGAGTTTCCCTGGGAGTCCTCGGGGAACTTCATAGCAGCTTCTCAGTTCTGTTATCTCCTTATCTTATGTTGACCCAGGTTGTGTTCTTAAAGCAGTACCTCTTTAAAACATTAACAGGCAATCCTTAAACCATCTATAAGCAAACTTCAAAACAAAAATAACTAGGGTAAAAACATATTTAGCTTACATAATAGCTACCTTGAATTCTGGCAGGGTTATACATCATAATTCCCTGTTTGAGATCCTAGTAATCTTGGCATAAACCTACTTTTGGCCACAACTTTAACTGTACTGAAATCTGGCTTACTTCTTCCATAGTCACTTTCACATATAGTGAGATGGGACAGAGCCTTATCTCATGTAAGGCAGGGCTCTTTATAAATCTCAAGTACTATAGTTCTGAAGCTGATCGTTTTATAAAGTTTACATAAATTGTTGTTCAAGTTTACATGACCATTAGCTAACATAATATAATATTACACCTAAAACATGAATTAAAGAAAGGCTGAAAGCTTTTAACCTCTTGTAGAAAAGTAGCAATGTATTTTTGTGTTTCACAATAAAACCTTTACACAGATTAGGCTCTCATTAACTTAAAAATACATTTAAATTGTATCTCAGTGTAAAACATAACATGGAACTGTACATATCTTATTGATAACAAGTCCGGTTGTAGAACACAAATGATATAAATAAATCTCCAACATGTTTTTCTTTTAAGCCCAGAATTACCATACAACTTTAGAACACCAGCTTTGTATAATGTTCTTTTGAAGCTTTTACCTTACAGACTTGTATACCTGGAAGATATGAACACATTAATAGCACCATAATTAACCTTGCAAAAAGCTGTGTGCTTACATAGAACTAAGGTGGAGATGGTAGGGCTTAGATAAATGGCAGGCAACCCGTTTATTGTTAAGTTCTTCCAGATATCAGCTCCGGAGCCCAGGAATTAGTTCTCACTGGGGCTAAGGTTCTCCGCCAGAAAGATTTGAGATTGGCGCAGGTGGGAGAGTTTACAGGGGCAGGAACTTTTCATGCCACTTCAGAGAAGAAGGAGGTAGGAAGAAGTCCTTAGGTGCCATGTTGGCGTTACCAGCACCTGAAGAAAATCAGAGTTAATAAAAACAGAATGAAGATAAAGATTAAAGCTAAGGTCAATTTTTGGCAGAAGTTCCATGCTTGGGGACTGACAGAAAAGAGGCCAAGGGCCATGAGGAAGCTTAGAAGGACATAAAGACTCATGAATCCAGGGTGGCAGATTAAGAGGTTCTCCAAACTTGTTGTCTCCCACTGTCTGATGTCTGTTGCATTCCATCGTGCCTGGTAGTGAGCTTCAGCACTGAGTGAACTGTTCTCTTGAAGATGTCAGGGGTTCATTGGTCATCAGAGGCTGGTAGTGCCTAAGCAGAAGCTGGTTGAAAGTTTGAGTAGAAACTTTCTGCAATTGGGTTTGGAAGAACTTCATAATGCAGAGTAAGAGGGTACAAGAAATATATTGAAAAATAACAGTTGTTGTTTAACCATAGTTTAACCATATAACCAGCTTACACAAACCTTTTTTATCACTTACTTAAACCCTCTTAATTACTTAATCACATAGACTCTCTTATCCAGAAACACATTTTCCCTCTATTAAATCCATATCTAGAACCTTTTAGTTTCTCTTTTCCATCTGTTAACCTCCTTCTGTTCACATTTTGAAACAATATCTGTAAATTTCTGAATTTAAGCAGATTATTTTATAGATATCAACATTTTATTAGGGTCTTTTTGAACACCGAGAAAAACTTATAAGCTTAATTTTAAAGACATCTTTACTTTTATCTGTTTACCCAATTTAAATTGAACCATTTGAATCACGTGAATCAAAGATATTTGGATCCATTTTTTTAATTTTTTTATGAGCACTCCTCATATATCTGCCAATTGTCATATAACTGCATGATATATGGACATACACACATACAGACATACTGACATACAACACATAACACAAGTGTGCACACATACACAAGGCCTTGTAGCTGTTTTTTTTTTTTTTTCCAGGTGAAATCTCCATTGCAATGTTTAAAAACTCCACAGTTGATCAAAAATAGAACTGATCAGAAAATATTAACCCATCTGCAGGATCAAAATCATGAGCTCAAAAAAATACAGAATCTAAGAAAAAGCAAGAGTCCTAAAAAAGGTGACTGGCCATTAATTAGTAAATATCATATAATTTACTTTTTGGTTGGGGTCTAGTTTGAGTTCAGGTAAAAAGACACTTTTACTCTTCTTTTTTCCTTGGGCCTGAGATCTGCCTCCTGCTGAGTGCTGCAGGCTTCTTTTATTTGCATATCAGCTTAAGTCCTGGCTGAGGTCTGGAAGGAACTGGGAAAACTGGAATTCTGAGCAGAAACCTCATGCCTAAGGCATTTTAACCATAAGTCACAATTTCCAGGTTTGGATGTTGAAAATTATGATGCAAGTTTAAGATACAATTTATAAAATTTCATACCTTTACATATTCCTACACTAGAAAAACTTGCTCACACAAAACTGAAAATAGGATCTTAATAATAAAAAAGCTACCACAGAAGAAATTTCTTCAGGATCATTAAGACACTTTCTTTGTTCTGAAGTTCCTAAAAGTAGTATTAAGTTACATTAAATTACCTGAAAAATTTTAAAAAGAACCATACACTACCATGTGTATCTAAAATTAAGCTTTAAAAGTTCCCAGGACTGTTGTTAATTAATGTCATTTCAATAAGCCAGAACAACGTTTTAATTTATTACCTTTTTTTCCCTGAATCTTACACACTGAGGGGAACAGATATCATATCATAATTTATTATCTTTGCCTAAGTTAATGAACTGGAATAACTAGTGAAATCTTCTCAGGCTACCCAGTTCAAAATTGAAACTCTTTAATTTTTTTTATCCTAAGGATTTAAGTTTTCTAGCATGAACTATCTGAAATCATGCTAAACAATTGCTTAAACCCAACTTTTAACTGTAAGATAGTGCAATGCTTTAGAAACCCACTCAGATACCAAATTGTTACAATTAAAAAAATCATCTTTTAGATACACATTCAGCCAAGATCATCCCTAAGAAACAATCTATAATATCAACACATTACTGCATTCATTGTCCCTTTTGTTAAGTAAACAGAGGTGGAGTAATCCTTAAAGTGCAGGTAAGGAATAAGGGAGTTCCCCAGAGCAAAATGGCTCTGGCAGCTGCTGGGAGTCTCTCAGCCCCACCTTTTACTTCCAAGATTAGTTCCTCTGGTTTGGTTTGACCCCAGGCACTAGGCATTTTTTTTTACATCTCCTAACTTTTCAGTAGTCAGCTCCCAAAAAGCTGATCCTCTGTTTGCAGTTGTTTAAAATGCTAGGCTTCCCCAAGAAAGCAGAATGGGGACTCCTTAAAAGGCCCCTTGGGGGTGTCAAAATTTGTGACTGAAAATTTGGTTCCTATCCCCCAAAGCCAATTAACACCAATTTAATAATGAGGACAGGGCTTTGAGAAAAGTCAAAGCGAGATGTCAAAGTTGTTAAATCCCCAGTAGGCATCTCCATTTGTACTCAAGCTGATTACGTGAGGGAAAGAAAACAATTGCTTTCCTAATCTCACTTAGCAAAGGGAAGTAAAGTTTACCACCCGGTTTGGGCTGCATTTCCAAGCAACCCGACTCTGGGAAAACCCGTTCGCTTCTTTGGCCCCGGGATTTGGTGATCTCTGCTGCAGGGGGGGGGCAGTCTCCCGCCAACTCCACCTCTGACCCCGCCCGCCCGCTGTGGTGGAAATACGCCCAGTGGCAGCCTGTTGCCGGCCAGGAGGAGGGGGAGGGGCGGTCCCCTGCCAACCTTACCCCCACCCCTCCTGCCCGTCCCTTGTGCCCGCTGGAGCAACCCCCCCTCTGGAGACGGGAGACAGCGAAGGGGCGGAGAGGACAGATGGGTGGAGGGGCCGGGAGGAACGGGGGCCAGAAAGATCCGCAGTGCCGCCGAGTTGAATCCTCCGGGCAGACTGCGTGGACCCCGCCCATGAAGGAAGAGATTCGCAGGGTTCCTGCCAGGTTAAAACACATGGCTGTAGATCTAGATGGCCACGTGGCCCGGCTGAAAGACAATGTCTCTGACTTTGTGGATTAGAGGGAGTTACTCAAACAGAGATGATACAAACCTGACATGGACACACAGTAAACATTTAACTTAAGTTCAGAAGCAAAGATTAAAGACAGACAGTGAACTCAACCTGAGAAAAAGAATAGCTGGCAAGACCTGACAGGTTGGCAGCAGAATCCCTTCTCACTGAATGAGGGCCCATCCATCCCTCCCCGAGTCCTCCAAGGTGTCCCTTGCAAGGACGTGGCCTGTGGCTTCAGGACACGTCTGTCCACCACTGCCAGGGGGAGCTCACACTCTTCACTGGCAGCCACTCTGCCAACCCAAACCGAAAAACCGAACCCGAACAAAAAAGCTCTGAGAGCTCACGCTCTCCACTGAGCCAAAAACAAATCCTGAACCAAAAAGCTCTGAGCCATTGCAAAGGAAAAACAAGAAGGAGAAGAAGGAGGAGAAGAAGAGAAGGAAGAAGAAGAGGCGCCTTACTTACCCCCTAAAGGAGTCCGTTGGGGTCTCCTTGTCCGGCGATGCACAGTTCCCAGCCAACACACCAAATGTAAGGGTCCGGAGAAGTGTCGGAGAAAGAGACCACCAAGGGACCATGACTCATGCAACAGCAAAAGGGGTTTATTGAGATTCCAGCATGCTGGGGCTCCATGCCCACTCAAGAAGGGAGAACAACCCGGAGCCCAGAACAGGGGTTGTTCAATGTTTAAGTACACTTTTTGGGGAGGGTGGGACTTTACATACATCACAGTCTCCTTTAACAAGTCATCATACACCGTGGGAAAGTCAAACAACAATTCTTAGACTTGATTAGTACATACATTGGTGGGAACAGGTCGGGCGGGGGTGATAGGTCAGTTCTAAAGCGGGGTACACATTCAAACTGTTTGGTTTAGGCCCTGCGATGCCTACGTGCAAGACCACACATTGCCCTTAAGTTATTAAACAACCAGGCAGTCAGGGGAAATATTTACTGGGTGGTTCCAAGCATTGTCTTAACAGCTACAGGAATTTCAGGTTTTGCATGTAGCATAGGAACTTAACAATACCTAATCCTTTACATTTTAACTCAGGCCTTGAAGCTTAGAAACTTTACAATGCCCAGTCTTTTACCCTTTAACTTTTACACTTTAACTTCGATTTATTTTACCCTTACAATTTAAATAATCTGGTACCTTTTTAATAACAATTGCTTCCCTGAATGCTGAATATGACACTAAAGAAGCATGCCCAGGCAGTGTAGAGTATAAAGTAGAAAGCTTTATTAAAGGATAGCAGAAAAGACTTGCTCCCAGAGGAAGAAGGGGACCAGGAATACATGGAAGGAGGAGGTCTTCCTTTTTTTTTTTTTTTTTTTAGCTAAGGTCTTCTTTTAGTCCTTCCACATTTCTGTCCTTTGTTTTCCTCTATCCTGCAGAGATAGAATACAGATGGGGAGGCCTAAAGGTGCGAGCAAGGTGGTCTGTAGGAGTAATCTGGGCTGTAAGAGCCTGGGGTGGTTTGATTAGCACCTTGCTGTTTTCTGGGAGCTACTTCATTAACAGTTCTTTAGGATGCATTCCAGACCTTGGGGATATTAACATTTCAATATCCCCAGGTGTTCTTCCTAGGACTCCCTTCTGGATAATGGTCTCCAATTTCTTTATCTTACACAATATTAGACCCAATTTACCTAACTACACTAACTACCTATCTTTAAATCTGACTTCACTGTTTTAACATTAATATTAACCAGTAGCTTTAATACTTTTTAAAATATATGTTTGGATTGAATCAATAACCCAAGAATCATTGAAGCAGAGAATCTAATATTATCTTCAATTGCGGTTTCAGTTATCACAGAGTATGAGTTAAAATTCTGCATTGAAGAATTTACTGTGGGTTGTGTTCTCATTCCAACCTCCCATATTTGTTCAGTCCTTAGTTTTAGAACAGTCTAACATAAGGTGCCCACAGATACAAAAGTCTCTTGGAATAATTAGAAAATATCAGTTTCTGAGTCTTGCCTTCTAGACATAAGTTTGACTATAAGTGTGTAGCCTCTAAGTGGAGTAGTTGTGAAAGACCTAGGCAACTTCTCTTTACTTGGGACCCCATTTTGTTCTGAAACTTAACCCCTGAACTTCTGCAGTAATAAAGCCAGGAAATACCACAGAAAGCTCAGCTCAAAGAGTTCTCAGAAAAGCCACAGTTTGTGATTGCCTAAGATAAGCCAAGATATCAAAGTATCTGAAATTCCAGACAGCCCCCACCTAGGTGTGGTGACCAATATTTAAACCAGAAGCCCTGCAGCTCAGCACATACCTTCCTTGTGACACCTTCATGGTTTAAACCAATCATTTTTAAGTGTGTCAACCCCTGGAGCTAAACAATAATCCTTTCCAGATTCTTTCCCACCACTTGATACACTAATCATGTTTTAGAGTTGTTTTTTGATTTTCCCCTGGTGTGATTTGCTATGATGTATGTAAAGTCCCTGCCTTTTTCAAAGAGTGTATAAAACTGCTGCAAACCCTCAGCTTGGGGGCCCTCAGCATCACCAGTTTCTGTGTGTGCAGAGGACTGAGCTAGCTCACAATAAAAGGCTCTTTGCTTCTTACATCAATCTTGGTCTCTCGTGGTCTTTTCGGGGTCCTGAACTCAGCATATCAGTTGGATGTTGTGAAGCTGGAAGAAATTTTCTGATGTTTCTTTCATCTAAAAGGAAGTTCATTATGGGGTGACAATACCAAGAATTCAACTCAGAGGCATTCAACTACTTAGTCACATCAACCGCCCTTGTTAAGCTTGAATTTGGACAGGACCCCCAAAAGACCACCAGAGACCAAGATCGATGTAAACAGCAAAGAGGTGTTTATTGCTAGCTAGCTCGGTCCTCTGCGTGCACACAGAGCAACTGGTGATGCTGAGAGGCCCGGAACCCAGGGTTTGCAGCAGTTTTATACATTCTTTTGAGAAGGCAGGGACTTCACATACATCAAAGCATCTCTTAGCAAATCATCACACACCGCTGGAAAATCAAATAACAACTCTAAAACATGATTAGCACATCCACTGGCGGGAACAAGTTGGGTAGGGGTGATTGGTCAGTACAAAACGCGTATTCATTTGAACTGATTGATTTAAGCCAAGAGGAGTGTACGTGCTGAACTACATTATTTCCCAACATGTTATCAACCACCATAAACTACTGGGAGGGTCATCTGGCATTCCAGTTATTTCCCTGTCTCATGCTGATTGGTGGCTGCTAGGGGGTCGCTATGGATCCCCACCTAGCCTGACTGAGTCAGGGACACCTGGCGCAGCATATCTCTACTGTCATTTGTAGATAAACAACTTAGCATGGTGGGAATGTGCCTAGGAGTGCTCTGTGGGTCTTTCCAAGGACAAAGGTGATGTCCCTTCCTTGGATAGGCTTTGCTCTGAGGTAGAGGTTGGTTTTTCACCCTATTTTACATTTTATTTAGAAACAGTTCATTAGTGCCTCACTATTGCTGAGGCTGCTTTGAACTCCCCATCCTCCTGCCTCAAACTTCCAAGACCCAGGGATTACAAGCATTCCCACCATGCGTAACTGAAATTTCATTTTTTTCAAAATTAAATACTGTGAATAAAGCTACAATAAAAATTTAACTGCAGTTATTTCTTTGAGAAAAGTTTCCAAATTAATTAACTTATATACCCAGAAATATTATTACTGGAGTTTATGGCATTTTTTTAAACCCAGGTTTATTAGTATTTCTTTTTTTTTTTAATTTTTTATTGTTGGCTGTTCAAAACATTACATAGTTCTTGATATATCATATTTCACAATTTGATTCAAGTGGGTTATGAGCTCCCATTTTTACCCCATATACAGATTGCAGAATCACATCAGTTACACATCCATTGATTTACATATTGCCATACTAGTGTCTGTTGTATTCTGCTGCCTTTCCTATCCTCTACTATCCCCCCTCCCATCCCCTCCCCTGACCTCCCCTCCCCTCCCCTCTTCTCTCTCTGCTCCCTCTACTGAGATTCGTTTGTCCCCCTTATATTATTTTTCCCATTCCCCTCACTTCCTCTTGTATGTACTTTTGTATAACTCTGAGGGTCTCCTTCCATTTCCATGCATTTTCCCTTCTCTCTCCCTTTCCCTCCAACCTCTCATCCCTGTTTAATGTTAATCTTCTTCTCATGCTCTTCGACCCTACTCTGTTCTTAGTTACTCTCCTTATATCAAAGAAGACATTTGGCATTTGTTTTTTAGGGATTGGATAGCTTCACTTAGCATAATCTGCTCTAATGCCATCCATTTCCCTGTAAATTCTATGATTTTGTCATTTTTTAATGCAGAGTAATACTCCATTGTGTATAAATGCCACATTTTTTTTATCCATTCATCCATTGAAGGGCATCTAGGTTGGTTCCACAGTCTAGCTATTGTGAATTGTGCTGCTATGAACATCGATGTAGCAGTGTCCCTGTAGCATGCTCTTTTCAGGTCTTTAGGGAATAGACCGAGAAGGGGAATAGCTGGGTCAAATGGTGGCTCCATTCCCAGCTTTCCAAGAAATCTCCATACTGCTTTCCAAATTGGCTGCACCAATTTGCAGTCCCACCAGCAATGTACAAGTGTACCCTTTTCCCCACATCCTCGCCAGCACTTGTTGTTGTTTGACTTCATAATGGCTGCCAATCTAACTGGAGTGAGATGGTATCTTAGGGTGGTTTTGATTTGCATTTCTCTGACTGCTAGAGATGGTGAGCATTTTTTCATGTACTTGTTGATTGATTGTATGTCCTCCTCTGAGAAGTGTCTGTTCAGGTCCTTGGCCCATTTGTTGATTGGGTTGTTTGTTCTCTTATTGTCTAATTTTTTGAGTTCTTTGTATACTCTGGATATTAGGGCTCTATCTGAAGTGTGAGGAGTAAAGATTTGTTCCCAGGATGTAGGCTCTCTATTTACCTCTCTTATTGTATCTTTTGCTGAGAAAAATCTTTTTAGTTTGAGTAAGTCCCATTTGTTGATTCTAGTTATTAACTTTTGTGCTATGGGTGTCCTATTGAGGAATTTGGAGCCCGACCCCACTGACTGTAGATCGTAGCCAACTTTTTCTTCTATCAGACGGCGTGTCTCTGATTTGATATCAAGCTCCTTGATCCATTTTGAATTAACTTTTGTGCATGGCGAGAGAAAGGGATTCAGTTTCATTTTGTTGCATATGGATTTCCAGTTTTCCCAGCACCATTTGTTGAAGATGCTATCCTTCCTCCATTGCATGCTTTTAGCCCCTTTATCAAATATAAGGTAGTTGTAGTTTTGTGGATTGGTTTCTGTGTCCTCTATTCTGTACCATTGGTCCACCCGCCTGTTTTGGTACCAGTACCATGCTGTTTTTGTTACTATTGCTCTGTAGTATAGTTTGAAGTCTGGTATCGCTATACCGCCTGATTCACACTTCCTGCTTAGCATTGTTTTTGCTATTCTGGGTCTTTTGTTTTTCCATATGAATTTCATGATTGCTTTCTCTATTTCTACAAGAAATGCCGTTGGGATTTTGATTG